TAATTTCAAGTAGAGTAAATACCTTTGGGAAAAAAAATTGTGGTGTGTGTGTATGTACTTCCAATTCAAGTATCAAAGTCAAATCTTGAACCAGAGAAGTTAAAACACAGGAAGCCATGACTGTTAAAGATTTCTGTGTATTTTTTCTGTGCTTTGTAGAGGCTCTGCCATTTATGACACCCTGTGCATTTGATCTAAGTTTACAAGCAGAATAGATGCTTTTGCTGCTACATTATCATAGACAATAAATAGATTTAATTACAAGACCAGACATTATCTTCAGTAGGAAGGTAGGCATATCAGAGCTCTTGGAGTTGCAGACAGAGTGATTACATTTCTTTCTAAGTACTTTAGACAACTTTAAAGAAGGAATCTGTCCCTCCATTCAAAACATTTAATGTACTTGCTGGGCCAAATGTTTCTACTCTTCCCAGGTTCCCCCTAGAATCCTGGATGGAGTAATGCAAATTCAATTCTGTAGATACTATTATATGCTTGAAGTTCTCAATACCCAAGAAAATCTTGAATAGCTCTAAAAATAGCACTAAAATGGAGCAGTTCAAGGGAGCACTAAGGTAGAGGTGAGCAGGGCAATCTCAGGCACGCATAAGTTGTAAAAGCCATGAGCTTCTTTATCTTCCACAAAGACATCTCCCTTAAATTTAAATAGCTGCTGTCATTGTCACTGACTACCTGACTATGTATTTATCTGCTCAGAAGCAGAGTGCATGGCCTTTGGCCCTGCTATTCATAGCGTTACTGTCTCTGCCTAACAATGCCCTGAACAGAGCTGGGTTTCTGCTAGCATCTTTTGTTTGATGTGAATCGCCGAAGCTTTGATGTTGTTTGTGAGAAATATAAAGATTTAAAAGAATAAGATCTTCACTCTCCCACTCTTTGTGCTCCCCACAGAGAAATCTAATCTGAGTTGGGAAGAATCTGTGACTGATCCGTTCTTAGGTAGACACAAATGATAGAGTGCAGAAGAGAAATCTCTTAGTGTTGAAACTCTTAGCATCTCTTTACTGGAGAGTCAGAAAGGTAATTTGTCTTAATGATCAAAATTCTGTTTCCTGTTACACAAACATTTATAAATAGGTATGAAATACTTCCTCTGTGTGAACACAGCTGTCAGCAAAGACACAGTTTTTTATTTTCAGTGGGATGCTTGAAGTTTTTTACTTTAGTTGCATGCACTTCCTCCTTATAGGATATTCTAGCAAAACAAGGGATTGATTATTTTATACTGAAGCTACATTAGTAGGTTTGAAATATTCTGCAGTTTCAAAAAGGTGCATTTTTCTTTAAGAAATATTATTCTAATAAGCTTGTTTCCCATCTTTATTGATAAATGCTTTTCTTACTGTCAGTTTTGGATTTGAAGAGCAAATGTGATGCAGTAAAGTGTAACTAAAGCCCCTAAAGTCTGAGATTCAGTGTAAATGGATTGCTGTTTTGCTACTCAAGGCAGAAACAACTGTAACATAAAAATACTCTGATCTGGGATCACTACAGTAACAAAAAAAGTAAATAATAAAACTAAGTGTAATAAAATGCAATGAAAAAAAAATTGAGATGCTTTTATCTTCACAGACCTTTGATCCACAGCATGAAGGAAATGGATTTGATTACTAAGATATGAAATTGGAGGTGACTTGATTCCTACATTGAGCAGCAGATAGGGGAGAGAGCAAGGGAGCAGAGCCGTGGCTTACCTTTTGCCAGGAGCAGTCAGGTTAACAGAAGAAGCACAGAGGTTTTGGATTTAGACACTTGGATATGGGAATACTGTGCATAATTCCAGATATTAATTATTTTTTATATATATATATATATATATATCTGTATATAAAGACCTTCAGTCTTTACAGTAACTCATGGTGTGATACATTTTGTGTATCACTGACCTTCTTTCGTCTGGGTGGGATAGGAATTCCAAGGGGCAGTCAAACAGGACTGCTAATGGAAGTTGCATAGATCTTGTTGATTCGCTAGTCACTTGTAAACCTTCTAACTAAAAGGGGCCAAACTCAGGGACAGTCCTAGCCAGGGAAGCAGAGGAATGTGATACATGTTCCCCAATAAAGGAGACTTCATTACCCTTTACCTGGGAGAACTACTGCACCTCAAAATGAGCTGTCTTGAGCTACCTTCAGGAAATGCAGAAAGCAGAGCAGATAGAGCCAAATCTCTACAAAGGATATTTCAGAACTGAGGAAAAAGGTCTAGAAGAGCCATAACTAAAATGTGCTGCAAAGTTTATATATTGTTTTAAGTATGAACCATTCCTCATGGGCACTCTGGTGCAGCCTAGTTCCTAATCTTGGACTGCAGAGAGGATAGACTGTTCTGGTACTGTGAGAGGCACTGGGATGGTATCAGACCACTCCTGGAAGTTTGGGCTGTGAATTTTCTTCAGTACTGCATACTTTAGATGTTCTCAGCTACCAGGAACAGCCTGCTCTTAGGAGTTACTTTGAACAAAGACAATTTTAGGGAGCTCTGCTGATCTCACATAGACTCTAATGGGAGTTGCCAGCATTCAGTGGTTGCTCCGATCATCTCTGCTGTGTGTGTGTGTGTGTGTGTGTGTGTGTGTGTGTGTGAAAGAACACAGAGCAGATCATTAGGACTGGCCCATTCCCCCAGAGCATTCCCTTTGAGGCTCTGGATGCTACAGAATCCCACGTGGATTCAGGATTTCCAATCATTAGCACAGAAAAAAAATAAATACAAAAGCTTTGATTTTGTTCTCTATGGTTTAATGTTGTAATTTTGGTATGAAAATAAGTGTCAAATGTTTGTGGGTTTTTTCAAACATGGTTTTTCTAAGTACTGTGGTAGTGAGCTATAGGAGTATTGCTAATATTTTACTTATTTATCAGCTGCCACTGCATCTCTTTATATGGCATTTGTAATTCTCTCCCCACATGCAGTTCCTACAATGTACTACAATGGCAAGAATTTTAAAGAATGTAAAAAAACCCGCCAACCCAAAATCTAAGATGTGGCCAGAGTTGTAGTTTTCAGCCAGCCCTAGACAGCGGATTTACAATGCCTGAATACTCTGCTGATGGGATCTGTGTATTGAAGTTTGATTAAGCTGGATGTGAAAATTAAAACTTGGCTCCACACTGAAGAGAGAATCTCCTGCAGTGTGATACTATGGCATCAAGTTTTCTGTTTACCCCTAAGGCTGATGCGGCTGTGACTTCCAGGTTTGATGGTGTCTCTTTTTTAAGCTGTTGAGCAGCAGGCTAATGGCTGCACAGCATGATGCAAGCACAGTGGAAAGCAGGGAAATCAGATGTGAATATATTCCCCAGAGATCTCCTGCTAAGATGGAGCTAACTAACCAGAGCTTTAGTGCTCAGATGTAGTTTCCTCATGCAGAGGATGGGCTGATTATCAGCTCTTCCTGCTTTACTGTACATTTTTGGATTACAGATGCTATTAGAAATAATGAATTCTGGTATAATATGCAGTCTAGTGTAATATGAGCTATTTTACTGAAAGGAACATTATTTTTAAAGAGTGTCTGTCCAAGATCAGTGTCCATCATCCCTCCTCCATATTGTCCAAAATTATCTTGGTCTTTTAAACAATATAGGTGTATATGCTTCTGTGCTTGCTTTCCCCTAATTGTTTGAAAATGGTAGCTGTAGTTTATTTTATCAGGAAAGAGACTGACCTTAGAAAGGGACAGGATCTCTTGGCAAAGCAGCAGCCTGGCTTACTGCTTACACAAGTGTCTGCTCTCTGTGTCACAACAGGAACTGATATTGCTGCTGGGTATTCATTTCATTATTTCCATCAGCCTCAGATGCCACAAGGTATAGAGGGAAGAGGGGACATTGTCCTTCTTACAGGCCTTATTATGTACTTATTGTATGATATTGGTGATATATCTGGTCTGTAAAATGAAAGGAACTGCCAATCCATTTTTATTTGTGTGTAGGGAAACTACATTCAGGCACAAGTTGATAATTTTAATGTTAATGTGGAAGCTGTTATTGCTGTGTATCATCACTGACCCATTCATTGCTTTGAGGTCTTAGGCAGTTTAGGGTGCACTGGGAACAGGGAGAACTTGTTGATGTTCCCCAAAGGTTCTGAATGAGAACATCCTCCTGTTTGCTCAGCTGTCAGCAGCCAGTCAGTCTTTGGTGGAATAAGGCAGTCTGCATGGTTTCAGTCAAATCCTGAAGCTGCTTAATCCAAAAAGTCAGAAGCATTGATCTGATAGGAAAAAATTCTTCATGAAATGGTGGTCAAGCATTGGAACGGGCTGCTCAGGGAAGCGGTGGAATCACCATCCCTGGAAGTGTGCAAAAATCCTGTAGATGTGGGGCTTAGGGATATGGTTTAGTGTGGACCTGGCAGTGTCAGATTAATGGTTGGACTCAATGATCTTACAGGTTTTTTCCAATCCTTAATGATTCTGTGGTTATCTCCAGCCTTAATAAAGGAGTACTTGGGTGTTTACACACCGTGTCCCAAGCACCCAGGCAGCCTGTGTAGAAGCGCCATTGAAAGAGTAAACTGAGTTAAACAGCACAGGTTAAACAACAAATTGCTTGTCACTGACCCTAAAGGCTTGGCCTAGAGTGCCCCTTGGGAAGCTGCCAGAAGAAAGTGTAAAGGCTCAGGCTTGCGTTTCCTTTTGCATTACACAGATTTGGACAGGTTTTGGACAAGTTTGACAGCACCTACTGAGACTGCCCCTCTAGCACTCCATACCTCACCCTGATGAGAACCAGTTTGTCTCAAACATAATAAACAATTGCCCTATCAGTTTTTATAACTTAGAGAGGAATTTACAGACATTATGGATCTTTACAGACAGATCTGAAGACTTCTTCACAGAATCCTGACTTTTGGTAAAGTCGAAGACAAGAGTTCAAATAGCCTTCAAAGCAGCTCTGAAAACGAACTCTTTTTCCCTCAAGAGACAAAAACAATCTTCTCTGGACTCTACAGGAGCTGTAAGTAAAAATTACCTCATACAGTGGCATGCAGATGCTATCAATCCACTCAAGCTGCAACCTGGGTAGTTCATGCTTCCTGTTCCGATCAAAAATGGCCTGAATTTAGGAGGAAACAAAACTGTCATGCTTTAATTACACTGGAGTATTTTACAGACACATCATTCAGCACTTTGCAGCTATGATCAAATTCTCACAACCAGAACACTTTGTAAACCATAACCAATCTTTGCAGCTGTCTTCCTACTGCTTTGCCTGGCATGAAAAATAAACTGTTTATTTTCAATTTTGTTTTGAAACTTTTAGGCTGAATGTGTTTGTGTTTTATAATTCTGTACTGCAAAATAAATGCTCCACAGCTGGAGTTGAGCTGGTAAGTAACCTCCTGTAGGAATGTAAAGCAGATGCCTTTGCGTAGAATTTTCTCTTTTCTCACGTAGGGTTTTGCAGCTCAGCAAAACAGAGATGGATTTGGGCTGGCTCCCTTCCTCCCAGTTAAATTCTTTAGAATACTTTTTTGTTACCCTTCTTCTGCTGCCTCCAGATAATGGTTGCTCAACATTTTGAGTTATTCAACCTGATAAGGCTTTCTCTTCTAATTGTTCAGAGAAAATCTTTATGAAACTTTCCTAGGCCTTGTTTGACAATTCATATCCATCTGCTTTCATTCCACTCAATTCCATTTTATCCCTTCAATCACAGTAGTAATTTTATACTTATAGAAATATATACTTATAGAAATGAATTTCAAATAACACAGATACACAGCTGCAACTGTAAATTGCATTTTAAATAAAGTAAATCTGACAATTTTGATTTCCACAGGTAGCTGTAATTTTTCAGTTCAAGTCTGTGTATTAAACCCAACACCTACTGCTTAGAAATTTCACTGATAGGATAACCTTAGGAACAGATACAGAAAACAGGTAAAAGGGCTCAGTGAAAAAATGGCAAAAATGACTGGAGAGCTTTTATATATGGTAATAAATGCATATCCTTATTGGGCAGAGCTTTTATTTATTCTAAGGTTTCTCTTTATGTACAAAGTAGAGTTCATTTTTCTGAATGAGCCCAACAATATTTTCTTACTCTATTGAAGTTAGTAACTATTTCAGAAGTGATGAAAACTTACTGAAGGGGTGAGTTTGAGTTCAGATCTTTCTCTGTCTCCTTGTTCAAAGAACTCACTGGTTACCAGCTCAGCTGCCTAAAATAAAAATCATTATAAAGATTAGAGTTCTTGTTACATAATTTTTAGGATAATGAGTTTCTGCTCAGACCATGACTTCAGCCTGTGCTTAACTGTAAAGAAATGAATAACCTCACTTAGATGACTTTCATCAGGCATGTGTTCATATGGTTTTTGGGACTGGGCATACAGGGAGTATAAACAGCCATGGTCAGGCACAGGGACTTATCCCTTTTTGATAGGGAATTGACCTGGGGACTTACATTGCACTGCCAAGATAGCACTCAATGCAGTTATAAGCAACTTACTCGAGAACTGAGACCAAAACAGAAAATGATAGCTTTTTGTTGGCATCCACTATTCTGTTTGTAAAAATGCTTTGTAAAACATGCGAGTGCTCTCTGGTTACTTACAGGTTGTTGCCCTATGATAACAACTTTGCCTATCAAAGAAACTTAACCAATACCCTCTCTTGTTTTAATCTAATATGGATTCATGAAGGGTTTTTTTCCTCCACTACGCTTTACTTTTTTTCCTGGTGACTGTCATCACTATAGGATCTGTAAGTGGAAGGATGAACTCAGATTTTAATGATTATCTTGATTCAAAATCAAGAAGTGGTAGGTTGGAAGTTAGAATGCATCTTTCTGACTTTTGTGAATGAAGACATTCTATTCAATGCAGAGGTTTGTGCTTCTTAGAAGAAGACAAGATTTAAAAATAAATTTACTTATGGAAACCAGAGGAATTTTAGGTAATCAAACAGTAAGCAGTTCTGATACATTACTGTACTCCTGTCATGTGCAAGACTTTGAAGGTAAGCACATGCAGCATTTTGAGATTCAAAAAAACTGGAAGCCAATCTACTAAGAGGCATTCACATGCTAAAGCTCCTGTCATGTCAGTGTATTGTTTTTAAACTAGGAAACTGTTTCATAGTGCCAAGGAACAAGAGGGTAAACTAAGCAGAGAACATGTACTTCATAAAATATCAAAATTTCTTGCTTTAGCAACTGCATGGTAAGTAATGTTCACAAATGCTAAGCTTGTTGTAGTTGAAATAAGGAGTTCCAGAATAATTTGGAAGTAGGTGAAATGATGTTAGAAAGTACTCTTAAATCTTAAGCCAGCCTATCACAGTTTGGAACTTTTATAATGTGTGTAATCCAGTGCATTAATAAAATCTGGGATCAATATTCCGGATAGAGGAATAATTTAACAACTTAGCAGCAGTTAAGGGTTTGCTATGTGTATTGTGTAGAAACAATCAAGACATAGTATCATCCCTGTCCCTCAGTGCTATTCTGACCACGTTCTCCTCATATCCCTTTCTGTCTTCTTTTATCTGTTTCAATCTTCTCTTCCTGAATTTTTCCATCTTACATGTGTTCTTTATTCCCTTTGTTTCAAATACGGTTTTTTTTCCTGTGGCACAGTTAAGGTTCAGCTATTTCCTGTTTTGCTTCTGTGGACTTCTTAGCACTTCTGCAGGACTTCTTAGCACTTTTGCTCAACCAGGTAATGTTTCAAGAAATCCCAGACTGGGTTTTTCAACATGAAGTAAACCTGTATAACTAAGCTGCAAGGGACTTTTCATCTGTAGACCTCAAAAGTGATAAGTATAAAACCCCCAGTTTGACAGAGACTCCAGCACTTATTCAGCAGCACAGCAGAAAGATTCACAACTAGGAAAGCAGACCCTACCTGACATTTGGCTGTCAATGAAAATGCAGAAGCTAACTGGGTTAAGGAGGGAAAATGAGGAGGGATTGCACACACTGCAGCAGTGGCCAGGTGGCCTGAAAAATCTCGTTACTCAAATTTCCTACTGCAGGATAGAAGCAGTGTTCCTGATTTCCATGAGAGGTGACCTGACCATATTCTGGCCAAGCAGAGCAAAGCCTTAGAAGAACTGTTGTCACAATCTGCTGATAAAGCAAAAAAGACTCACTGAAAGGTGACAGGCAAAACTGAAAGCTGAGGTGAAGCCCTCCCCCATAAACGTTCTTTTATTCAGTTGATGTGCATGTAACTTCTGTAGATCCCTTTCAGCTTCTGTTACTTCCTTGTCTAAGAAATCTGGCTGCTCCTGCATCTCTAGTTATCTGGCCTAGCTTTCTCTTTTTCACCCCATCTTTGCGACTATTACTTGCTGTTGCACCAAACTTCCTCCAGGTTTGTACCCAAATCCAGCTGCACTGGTGTATTTTCAATTTGCTTCTTGATACTGTCAATTACTCCAAAACCCAACACAGTCTGTCTTCTACTGGCTTGTTCTGGGCCTCAATGAAAGACAGAGAATGACTAGCACAGACACTGGAAATATTAAGGATGATTTCTGGGTAGAGAAAGATGTCTAGAAGAGGGAGAATCACGGGGCAATGGACAAGAGTTTTGGGACAGGCTGCTTTCTCATATTGTACCTGTTTGCCAATGCTGGATCTGTTTTTTTATGTATATTTCTAACGAGCCTACTCAGCATCAGAACACGGAATTTTTATTTCTTGGTTTCTAGCTACAGGATGTTCAAGAAAGCTACACTTGGAGTTCTATGCTACACTGAGTTCTGCAACATTCTTAAGAAAATGAACACATTTATTTTATCATATATACTGAAGATTTTATGCTAGTAAAATTTGCGGATAATCTGTTGGTATTTTTGATTTAGGGAAGACTCTGCCATTGCCAAGGAAAACTTTGGGATGAAGCAAGTAAATGCAGCTATATGAGGCTAAATGTCTTCTTTGTTTAATCTGTCCATTTTTGAATATGGATTTAAAATGTTAGTAAGAGGAGAGGTTGTAAAGCCAGATGTACATGCCAGCATGTGTACAGGGAAAGATTACACAATAAAGCATTTTTTGCAGAAACCCCCTGCTATTTTTTTATAGCATTAATACCGCTGTAAATTGATTCCAGTTTTGGTCCCTTGTAAGCCAGGGCCCTGGGAATATTGTCCTGCCAGTCCCGCCTCCTCTCAGCCCTGCTATTAATCATGACTTGCCTGTCTTGAAATCTCCCACGGTTTGGTCACAGCTCCAAGGTCACAGGCTGTCATTAGCATTGATCTGAAAAACAGAAATGAACAATACAAGCTGAATCAACCTTTGTTGAATTTCTAAACAACTCTGCTCTGGATGCATAAATAAATAATACATATATAAAATGTCAGCTCTGGCACCTTCTTTTCCTCCAGAAAATAATGACATGTTTGAAATCTTAGCCATCAGCGTGGCTTTTACATTACAATTGTGCCTCGGAAATCTAATGTGTTGCAGGTTATAAGATGAATTTTGGTAGTGTGCGTTGCACACTAGAAAAGAAATGATATTGCAAGGGAGTAACTGCTAATTTTGCAATACTTCTAACACTACTTACATTAATACCTATAATATATTAGAAAGCATGTGCTTCACATGATATAAGTAAGGGTATTATTACATAATAACACCTGCAACTGGATTAATTTATATGCCTATTTGTAAGTGACTGCTGTAGCAAGAGAGCCTATAATCACAGGAGGCATCCCAGACACTGTTTAAGCAGTTTCTACTGCTCATCTACAATAAAAATTGAAGATTTACTATGAGCTATATGGTTCCACTGTAGTTTAATACTTAGCTACAACCATGTTTTATATGCATTAGGAGAAAGAAACCATTCAGCTGTAGAAAGCGTTTATGTACAGTACATGATGCAGATAAAAGTCTAAGAAAGTTTAAATGAATAACAAGGGCACTGAAAATGAAGCATCAAATATATTGCCTGAATCTAAAATTAGGAATGGGTGAAATGGTATGGAAAATAGAAAATGGCCAATATTTTGTCAAAAGACCAAAAGATAACAGAATTTTAATGCAATTTCAGATAAAATGAGACATAATCAGGCATGCATATACAAATACGCACATTTTATTGTCTACAAAGTGTGATCTACTCAAACCACCCACAATGTCTGAGGTTTTAAAAAGGATGCATGCTCAGGGCATTCTTGAGGGATGGAAGGGTATTCTGTATATGAAAATTCACAGGTACAGACTGGAAGAGCAGAGAAGTGCATGGCCAGTGAAGAAAGGCAGATGAGAGGAAGAAGGACTGGGGAAACAGACAGGAAAAATCTTTGTGTAGAGAGGCAGAATATTGATACTTTCTGGAAAAAGAGCAGAAGGGCTGAACAGGAACTTGTGAAGCTGGGAGAAAGGAAACAGAACTGAGTGTGTAGGAGAAATAAAAATGGAGACAGTGAAGTCATGTTGATTAATGCCAGCTGTTTGCTAATGTTTAAAAATCATACCATATATTTCTTATGGATTGTATTGTTAAAACAAGATACCTTCTCTTGTTATTCTAAACCTTCAGTCCACAATACATGAAATTCCTTCAACAAATATGGCTACACTTTGAAATAACCAGAAAGCAAGAAAAAACAGCGCTTACCGAAATATTTCTCGGTGGTTTTTTGTATTCCAATCATAACCACCTTTACTGACAAGTTCAAAAAACTCCGTCCTTCTCCTGCAAAAAACCAAGTTGTCAGAGAAGGAAACAAGACACTTCCAGGGCAGCACTGCAGCAGAAACGTTTCTCTGTGTGATACAGAATCACTGCACCTCATGTATTATTGTTAAAGCTGTTACACTGACAGTCCATTTAAGCGAAACATACTAATTTTCAAACATGTTCTATAAATGTCTGTTATCAATGTCAGAGTTGCCTAGTAAAAGCAATATTGGATTTATGCTCTCCGCAGATAAGGAAATGAATGGCTCTGAAATGTTCAGTCTTCCACAGAAGCATGAAATGTTCACCTACAGCAGTGGACAAACAGACGATAGAAACATCCCAGAAATACACACACACTTCTGTTTTCTTGTCCTTGCAAAATGGTTTTTACTTTTATATCCTGAAGGGTTTTTCAGAGATATGCGATTCCTGTTATTTCCAGCACACAGAAAGAAACAGAGACACTCAGGAGCTGCTGCTGTCTTGAGTTCATAGTTCTTTTAGACTGGAAACTAAGTCTCCCTGCTTGGTCCCATGGTTTATCTTCCCATGCTTTCTTCATGTCCTCAAACAGGGACAAAGCATGAGATGGACAGAACATGTTAATGCTTGATTGTTACCTTTAAGAATCAAAATTCTGACTCATCATAGTCTGTAATCTTTTATGGCACTGAGACTGCAAGCAGCTCTTACTGCTTGCAATGTGACTACATTACATAATTGATCCTGTCCAAAATGTAGCAGAACATGAGGTACAAAATATTGGAGCCACTTTCCCCCAGTGACATAACATATGAGCATCAAAGCTGGAAAACAAATAAATACCTATGTCCTGAGTGGCAGTCCAGTGCCCCATCTCATATGAGACTGTGCTCTTTGTCAAGAGGAAATGTAGTTAGATTCAACAGGAGAGAGTTTGCAAAGTCTTGTATTTTCTCTGTTTACTTCAACTAGACTGAAATTTGGAGCAGTGATTATTGACAGTGCAGTCTGATGGCAGCCAGTACACGTTTGCACCCAAGGAGATGCACACTTCTAGAAACACTCCTTTGATCAGTGGACAGAACATTATGTGGGGCATGTTGCAATGTTCTGGTCCCTGTCATGGTTATATGACCAGTCACTCCTACTGTAAGGCCTTTTTCTATAATGCATTTTATACAGCAGCTAGAAGAGGGCTATAAAAGGGCTGCATGATGATATCAAGTACCTTATACTTTGGGAAATTAAAGATTTCATTTTGAAGTGCTGGTTATTCTGAGAAATTCATATGTTTCTGGACAAAAAACAGGCAAGAATGTTTAAAGCTGAAAGCTCAGGAAGATCCACAAACAGTAACTGAAAATGAGAGTCTCAAAGGCCTTATGTTAAGCTAAAACCTTTAAGGGTTTTATTTAAAATCCATTTAAATGGATACAGAAGTAGTAGTCCAGCTCCACAGAGAAGTTTCAGTGTAGGAAGGACTGAACTGGAGGAAAGCAGTCATGTATGATGAAACAATTAGCATTTCCTACTGGTTTCTTTGGTACCCACAATTATGAGGTTTTCTACTAATAAGCAAATATAATTTGGCAGAATTTCAGAAACAAACTGAATTATAACTATTTTCCAGGGTCTTTGAGTAACATTGACTCTGGCTGTATTTTGCCTCAAAGGGAGGTTGTTTCCTTATGTATAACAAATCCATTTGCTCTACAGCCCAATGGCTCAAGATATCATTTGAATTAATTTCCATATTATTATTCCAACTTAATATTGGCTCCATGCCTTTACTTGTATTATCTACAAGTGTCGTTATCTAGAATTATAAACAAAAATCAAATATATTTCCCATCTGATCTTTCAGTGAAAGTAATCTTTTTTTTGTTTGTTTTTGTGAAACTAATGCCTTGTTCTGCCTGGAGTTTTGTTGTTGTTTTGCTACTTGGAGCTTGTGATCATCAGGTTTAGTTAAGAATACTGATATGAGAATTCCCCTCTCTACAAAAATACCGAAGATGTAGCAAACTGAAAAAAACAAATTAGGTATTTGTGTAGAAACACCTGTTCACATAGGGTGGCTTTAAGAAATGTAACACACCAATGTTTCTAGAGATTGATTTTCAGGCACTTTTGGAAATAAACTAGCATAGCTACCACCTCATTAATGAATTGTAGTAACACAAGAGGAAAAAATCTTCAGACTTATGAGTAAAGAGGCCTCATTTACTAAATGTCTTCTGATTCATGCGGCACAAAAAAATTCAATTATGCAAGTAAGAAAAAATTATCTTGAAATTCAGTTGTATCCCTTTTGGACATTATTTCTCTGTATTAAAATTAGAAAAACAACTTGACTTTGTTTTCCAGCTTAAGGCAGTCAGGGGAGAGAGTTCCTTCACGTCTGGGTCTGAGCAGGGTCTATCCCAAGGCACTGCCATTAGCTCTCTCTGGCTCCTCCAGGATCTCAGCCAGGGGGAGCACATGGAGTTGTGCCAGGGCAACTGTCCCCTCAGTCCCTGTCATTCATCTCCTTCTTGAGAGCACAAAACACTTCTGCAGCATTTATTTATGATGAGACAAGAGAACCTATGGTCCTTGTATCTCACAGAATGGAAGAGACCTTCAAGGTCATTAAGTCCAAAAGTCAACCCAGCACCACCATAATCCCTAAACAATATTCCCCCTAAGTACCATATCAAGACAACTCTTTAATACTTCCAGAGGTGGTGACTCCACCCTGGACAACTTATTCCAATTTCTTACCACTCTCAGTGATTTTTTATTTCTCTAAGCTAAACTTCCTCTGGTACAACTGTAATCCTTTCACTTGAGACATGGCAGAAAAACAGACAGGATAGGATGCCAGTGGACACCAAACAAAAATTCCTAAGGATGACTTTATTGTCCAGACTGGGAAGGCAGTGCACAGAAACTGCACATCTGCCAGCACTTCTGCCCCTAAGTCAGGTGCAGGCTAATGCCAGATGTCAGGAGTGCAGTGCAGTGGTGACACTACAACTCCTCTGACTACATGCAACCTCCCACACATCCTCACAGGACCAACCCGAAATCTACTTTGAGATTTGATTTGCAAACAAGGAAAACGAAGAAAACCGTGTGAGAGACATCCTAGTGTACTTCTCCTCTATTAAGCTTTTTAAGACCTATTCTCATCACGTGATGTGAATTGGCATAATTTGTCTTCAAAGCAGCAGAGTGTCTGCTCTGTTAACTCTGAAACCGGGTCTGTAACTAAATACAGTATTTCTTAGCATACATGTTTAGAAATGCTGAAATGGTGGAAAAGAATTCTCAAATGTTATTGATTTTCTATATGCCTGAAGAAATGATCATAGAAAGGACAGAAAAATTATGGCACTGAGCTGTAATTGTTTCCTGGGATTGCTCTGAAGTATAAACCTAGGATTTCATTTCCTTTTGGTTGATACAGACACGTGACACATTAAAGCAAAACTTACTTGGACACTTGAGATATTTCTATTAGTCTAAAAGATACTAAGTATTAGACTAAACCTCTTCAACCATAGCTAAACACTAATTTCTCATATTATATATCCTTATTGGTATTTAATAGGTTATTAGAGTAAGTTCTTTGAATTTTCATTCATCAAATACCAGAAATGCCAATACTTACTCAAAATACAGAGTGAGGTCTGTTGCCAATATCGATTGCTTTAGCAGCTGCATAAGGTCACTGTAGTCCTTAGAGGACAAGTTAGCAAAGATGTTGTGACCCTATAATGAAAGAGATAAAAGAGGTAAAGGGCTAACAATCAATACAGGTTTTTAAAAGGTTTTCTAACTTGTTAGTCTACTGTTTCCCTGTAATGCAAGCCTTTTCTGATTCATGGCAAAACTATGACAAAATAGCAATGTTAATACTGCTGAGATTACATTGAGGCAGAAGCATTGATGATTGTTATCAAGCATCTGGTATGTTTCTCTAAACTCTGCTGAAATTATAGCCTGTCAAGTAAAGATTTAGTCTCTGATCTGACCCTGCACAGACTCAGTTTACGCGGAAAAACTATGGATACATCTCAGTCTCTCACCTTATTAAATGTTCTGGGGAGCTGCATATTGGAGCTTTTGAGTAGTGATCCTAATAGATGTATCTGTGCTGCTTGCATGCACACAAACCGCTGTTAGAGCAGTCAAGGACACGAAATCAGGTTTTCATTCAAAGCAGCCCATTTGCTCACTCTGCCTGTTACTGCCTTGTCCTACAGTGTGTACAGCCATTGCCTATGTTGGCTGAAGAACCACAACTTTATATGCAGTTTAAACACCCTCTGTGGGCCCAAGCTGATTTTTAAGGGATTGTGGATTAAGAATTTGAAAGATGCTCTATGGCCAAAATGAAGGGAAATTAATTATTTGATGTTGCTGTTTGAGAGGGGGAAAGTTCTTTTGTGACCGAATTTCTGAAAACATGAGGGACAGAGATCCTATAATTCCTCTGTGAAATTCTCAAGAAAATAAGATGAAACAAACAAAATTAATGAAAAACTCTAAATGTAACGTTAAGAAATTATCTTTGTGACAATAGTCACATATATTAACATACATAAACGTATTACAGGCCTTTTTTTTTCTGATCACCTACACAAATATTGAAGTTCTTTCTAAACAGAGTCTGATTTTGCTGATATTTAGTCCTGTTGTGCCCACATTCAGTATGCACTGCCATCTACTGCTTAAGAAGATTAAAATGCCCTTAAAACCAAGAATTTTCCAGCAACAGGGTTACTACAATCATGATGGTATGAGGACATATATAAGATAAGGTCTGGGGAGCTAGAGGTGCCATTTTTCAATGGAGAAGCTAATTGTTGGAATAAAAAAGTAATTTTCCATAAATGCATAAAATAATTCATTTTCAGCTAAATATTGAGAAGGCTTTGTGAATCTAAAACTTATCTATGAAAAAAAATAAAATTTAAACCAAGGTACTCAGAAGAAAATAGGAGTTTTTGCAACAGGGCTAATTTACCAACTTGTTATTCTGTAATATCTACTGCCTTTCCAAAGTGTTTCATGGAGAATAAAACCGCGTCACTACAGAGCCCATGATCACTTATATTGAGGTTAGTATGTAAAGAGTAAAGGATAAATAGCCCCTCAGTCCAACATGCTAAAATCTGAATAAGTGATAGAGCATGTTATGTTTCCAACTAGACAGCAAAGACAGACTAGAGTATTTCAGCTTATTTGAGAGAGACGAATTGCTCAGCTGTAACAGAATCTTTAAGTAGATTGAAGGGTCCAAATCTGCATTTATTCCAAGCTAAGCAGTGTTCCATTAGCAAACTGTAGGTGTTGGATAAAAATTCCATAGCACTCATTTTCTGGTTTAGACATGACCTGGAGAAGAAGCTTCTGAATGATCAAAGGTGAGGATTTACATTTCAAGTAATATTTTACATCCCTGAAAGAAGCCAGAGTAGAGTCCAAATAATTTTTAATAAATTTATTGATTTTTAAGCTGAAAAGATAAAGAAAAGCATATCAACTGACATGATCTATGAACTTTTACAGATGTGTCCATATCTTGAGCCTGAGACATTCAATGATAATGATTTCAGGAACCAGAGAACTCACTGTTTTCCAGAAAAGCTTCTTCTAGAGGCTCAACGGTGTCACAAGTATAAGGAAAAAACCAACAAAAACCCCCCACCCAAACAGCTTTCCTTTTTTCTTATTCTGAACCAATCTGTTTCACATTCAAATGCTGCTTTTTGGTACACCTTTCCCTGGCAGTATAAGGAGCCATTTAATTCCTAGTATCACCTTTCGTACGAGCTGGCCAAGGCTAAATGGATTGAGCTGTTTAAATCTCATGCTGGTGCTCTTCTTTCCTATGTTTACTTTTTAAATATAACATCAGGAAACTGAACACTAAAGATGCAGTTCTGTGACAAATCTCCCTGGCTGTGTACACAGAGGTAAAGCCATTCCCACTTGTCTGTGATCATGAGCCATTCCAGATCTCTTCAGAAGTAACTGCAGATCAGGCTATGGTATCCAATTGTGCTGCACGAACAGCAGTTTTGGTTTTATATTTACTGAATGCATTTTTTTGCCACCAATCTCTGTAAATTAAGAAAATGTATCCATTGTTTTGAAAGGACTCCATGTCCATCCTTCCACTTCTCTCAGTTATTAAATACATGGTGTAGTATATGCTGTATAGTGTTACATGCAAGATATTCTGGGCAAGAGCTATGTCTTCACAGCTATTTGCAAAGCAATTAATATACTTTGGACAGCATGATATTAGTGACTTTAGTTTTTAAAAATAGTGTATTAAATTATGGAAAAATCATAAAAATACTGATTACAGAAAGGCTGCCAAAGAAATTAAATTGGTGCAGTAAAAGGATGGCTCTGATACTCTGAATATGACACCTGTGGGGAAAGGTAAGCAACTGTTTCAGCCACCTATAAACCACTGAGCAGGATATATGTAAGAAGAGTGAGAAAAGCTGACAATATGATTAGGATGTATTCTCCTTGCCCCTTGCTGGTTGAGACAGATACAATCTCTGGGCTCTATGATCAGCATTTGTAGTTTTTTAATTTGGTGCTAGATGTGACCTTTGTGGTAACCAATAAATAATTCTTCAAGGAGAGGGCATTAAAAAGGTACTGTACATGGTATTTCCTTTCTCCAGCTGAAACTGCCCAACAGCTTACAGTGAGATTAATAGTAATGCTTTTGTACCTCACTTTGGAGAATCATGACAGCATGATTGAAATGGTGGTGCTCCAAGGTAGCAGAGGTGCCGTAGAGCTGAGCTAAGGCTGATCCACTCCTGAAACAGAACATGAGAAGTCAACAAATCCTGCTCGTCTGCTTACAATGCAGGTTACAGAGACAATTTAGTGACAAAAGCACGTCACTCCACCTCCACTTAAGCAACCTCACTTAAAACAGCTGATGAGATTAAAATACTAATTTAAATCCAGATACAAAGCATATATGTTCCAGACTTTGCTAAATATTGCCAGCTGGCTAAAGATTTTTCTGGAACTACAAGAAATTTTGTAATGCAGCTTTCAAAGTGCCTCAGCAACAGCACAGACACAGAACTGCGCAGTAAAGACACACGTTAATGTCCTCGAGATGGGATTGGCTGTTCCCCTGCTACCTTTTATTTTTAATTCTTAATAGACATAAGCATGAGGGCTTACAGTGGGCAACTACAAACTCTTGAAATAAAACCCCAAAACACAACAACAAAAAACCCGACTGCAAATACTAAGGTAAACAAAAACCACTAGCGAGAGCAGTGAATATAGAAGTAAAGCTTAGAATATCTCTAGAATGTATTTTCTCTACACATTTATTGTCTAGACCAAAATCAGATTCAAAATACACAGAGTAGGTGGGTTTTCTATGTTTAAAGGACAAAAATATCCGAAATAATATTATAAAATTGCAAACTGCTGGGAAGTGCAGAGAATGGGACTGGATTGTCAGAATGGTCACTGTACACCAAGTACCAAAGTAGTTCAGGCAAAGTACTTCACTTCTGGGACCCAGCCTAAAGTGACAAGATGGGTTTTCTTTCCAAAGAAATGAGAATAAGAGATTATGCTAGAGACAGAAGGAGTCTCCTAGGAGCATATACCATAAAACAGCACAGTACTGATACTTAATTATCAGAAGCAGCTATATGAGAGAAAAAGATGTCCAGGAAACATCATCCCTAGAGAATGTGATGTTGACATATATAACAGAGCCATTTGAGACAACTGTGATATTGCCTCCATCATATACCTCTTGAACTTTCATCATACAGAACAGCAGTATTGGACACCGAAGATAAAATAGGAAAATGTGATGCTTAAATTTATGTCCGGTTAGAGGAATAAATCATAGTTAGCGTTATGAAAACTACAGCTTCTGTTTTCAGGGATGTTTTATACATGTGTGGTAATGTTTGTCTTTCATTAAATGTCTTCAGCAGTTTCTTTATGGAGTCGTAAAATGGTAGCCTCCTCTCCGTACTCTGCTGTCAAACAAGTATGAGTGATAGCAGTCTAATGCTGAACCCTGTACCTTTAACTCAGCCATCCCTCTGCACAAAAGATACTCTTGTGTAATGGTACAGCAGAGAAGTGGTTAACTTAATCAGAGCCTAAAATGGCCAAGATGTAAATCTTAGGTCTCGTTTTTGTAAATTAGGAACATAAACATCAATCAGCTGAGCTTCCTTCCCATTTGTCTCGTCTGTTTTGATTCTCTTCAAGACTCAGCTGCAAAAAGGCATCTAGCAGCCCTTGGTAACCTTTGCACCACAAGCTCTGTCTTTTGAGCTCTGCAATTGATTTTCCCTGCTATGGTGATTGAAGATCCAGACAGTGTCATTGTTTCATTGAGATTGTATGGCAACACCAATACCTCAGGAAATGGCAGCTTAGTGAACATCAGAAACATCAGTTTGAGTGATGGTCACTGAGGCAACTTGCCCCCAGAAAAGCAGCAGCCTGTGCATACACACATTGCAGCAGAGTACTTTTGCAAAAGGTAGGACAAAATAGGCTAATACAACATCACTCTGCCTTTCAAATATTGCTGGACAACCATTTGACCACTCCCCCATCACACTGGAGGATTAGCAGTAAGGCAGAACAGAAAAAGCTACAAATGCACACTGGGATCTGCAGGACAGGAATGCCTTGGGGCCTCGTATTCTGACTGTAGAGGAAATGGGGAGTGAAGAAAACAACATGGGATTTGAATCTCTGTGTCTGGCAGCTTTATTTCACAGCTTGGCCAGGATGTTGCTGGGGACATTTTCTGTTGTCCCTCCTATTCTCAGGGAACACAGATTTTGGAATGAATTTGACCTTAGTCTAAGGAGGTCCCTTACCTACACAGTAAGAAGTACCACCCTTAAACCTTCTACAAACCTACTTCTAATTCGCTGTGCCTGGGGGCAGCAGCATGGTTTCATTGCAAGCATTATTTCAGTTTCACTTATTTTCTTTGCAACAGCAGAAAAATGTTCTGCTTAATGTCATGCACCCCAGTCAGCAAGAAGAACCCAGACAGACAATTTAGGTTCTTCCTGGGTTGAAAACCACAATCAATAATAGCTGAGCCTGAAAAGAACATCAAGTTTTGGCACCACATTTCAATATGTGGTGTCAGTTCAACAGCCAGCTACAAAGGACAAGCCAGCAATTACTTAAAGGAACAGAGAATGATAAAGATGGATAGTCCCTCACTACACACAGGAATAAGAGTACTTGGCCTTGGCCTAGAAGGCTTGAAATTAATGTTTCATTCTTCATCCTGGTCACCTTTTGCTCTCCTGTGGAAGAAAACCAAATTAAAATAGTAAGAATTAGAAAGCTTACTTGGCTTGGAAGGCATTGTTGGTTCCCCTGTGGTCAAGGTCATGACATAAGCATCCCACAATCAAAGCTAAAATTTCAATTTCAGTTAGAATCTCCTGAAATCCTGCAGTCTGAGAGCGGAAAAAAAATAGCAACTGTAACTACCAGTAGCAAAAGGGATAAGTAATGTTAGTCCATCCAGTAACAGTCAACTTTGTTTTGATACCATGAATGTTTCAGTAAGGAGAAGATAAATGCTTTATTGTCATATTCTATTCCCTGCTGTATGTCAGATGGTTAGCAGAATAGATAATGTCCTTGGAGTGATCTGTTATTATCTCTTTGTTGCATTTCCAGCATGCCATTTCTCTGCTACCCAGGAGGCACTAAAGGCAAAAGGAGCTGAAAACAAATACCAGTAACTGCAAACTGAGACAGGAACTGGAATTTTCTATCAGAGAAATAAAAATCCCAAACTAAACGGATAAAGTTTTAAAATTATTTTTTAGAGAAGTACTTAGAAAGATTTCTTCAATCCTGAGATGACTATCTTAGTCAATTCCTACTGTCAGAGATAGCTGACATGTTTGGTTGGAAGATCTTTTAAAGAACACAGATAAAAATATACTCTGTGGAACTGTTATGAACTATTAGGAGATTTTTTTAAAATCTGGCACAGTAAAATGAAGTGGCATGATTTAGAGAGGAAATGTCTCAAATGGCATATTTTGGCTGCAGATACCCACTTGAATTTGGGAGAGGCATTTAAAAACAGATGCAATGAAATTCCCTACAAGCAGCTCAGACATGACTATGTGAATGGGGGAGTTAATCCTAAAAACATTTTTTCACCACTATGTTTCTCCTCTTGGATACTTGTCATAGCAGTCTTCCTGCCTGAATGGGCTCATGTCAGAGAGAAGACACTTCCTAACCTCAAGCATCCTGAGCAGATCCTGTCTGGACGAGGTGCTAGAGCCTCTATGGGACACCACCTTGTCGGTGCTGTACCTCTTACCCACGGCAGAAACAACCTGGTTCTTCAGAAGAAGGGCATAGTGCCTGCAAAAACGACTGGCTGGGCTGGAAAATCATAACACTTGTCTTTTCACAGAGCCAGTCTCCAGTGACACTCCTCAGTTAGCCACATGGTCTAGTTAGCATGAAAGGAAACTACATACAAGAAATACTAAATACATTTGTATTGGAGGATCAAACCAAGGCTGAACGCTAACACCATGTAAGAATTCCCAAATTTCATTGGTTTTCCAAGGGGCATAATTTCACCCATAAGAGAGAGGGCAAGAAGAGGGTTTAAGTGATACAGTGGTTGCCCTTCCTTGGTAGGAACTTACACTCAGGAACACCAGTTAATTGCTGCAATACTCTGTGAAAGCTCTGCTTTTCACCCCGAAGACCACAAATTCTGCTTAGAGAAATGCACATTCAAATCTAAGTATCCTCTTGTTTAGACAGTCTGAAATGTGGCCACAGTTAATGCTTAGGCAGTACAGGGAACCAGGCCCCCCCCAAGCGCTCAGGAATGCACTTCAGTGGGAATTGAGGAAGTGAAAGACTTGCTACAAAGCCTTTATAATTGCTTAAAGTTTATACAGGAGAAAAGATTATCAAGTATGAAGAAAAAAGAGATTAATTAATTTTGTGTTGAATCCACCAGTGTACAGAATAACTTGAATATTAGGAAAGAGGTTCACCTGATTTCTAGTGGCACTGCTTTTGTTTTAGTTTCTACCCAAATAGAAAAAATCCTCTAAAAAGTGTTTTCTCTTTTTATTTTTTTAACATAGCTCTTGTATAACAAACAATAATAGTTTTTCATATTTATTGATAAAATGTTGATAATAGTGTCTATTGATAAAAAGGGATTAACATAGTTTGTAACTGACAACACACCATATGTCAAGTTTCAGTCTAGAGAAAATATTCATGGCTAAGTTAAAATAAGTTAAATGAGAAGTTTTATAATATGAAATTGATGTTGTAATAAATATTCTTTATTGTAATCCAACCTCTGATTAAATTCAAAGATTCAGACTGTATTGCAAATGCAGGGAAACCAATTAAGGAATTCACTAACAGTAGCAATATCTCAAAAATAAATGCCACATTTTATTTAATGAAAAGTCTTGTCACTGAATATATGAAAGAAATATAGTATATGTCATATAGTAAAAACCATTTCATTTAAAACAATACTACAGTAAGAGAATATCTTCTTTGAACATAATGCAAGTAAACAGAGGATTACATTTCCCCATTTCTGAATTTACAAGAGAAAAAAAAAAAAACAAACATGGCTATAGATGGTGGTGCAGTAAAATTTATTTTCACCAGAAAAGGAATGACCCATAACTCATGAGTGGCAGAGTCTCCAGTGAGTTATGGAGGTCATTCTTTCATCTGAGGAAATGAATTGCATTCATTATACCTTGCCCCACATCTATATGTTTTGTTATTAGCACACCAGATGGGATTTTAATTTGGTATTGCTTACTTGTTCATTTTTGCCCTTTGAAATAAGTATCAATGTGAACTGTGCTGGCAAAGGCACTGATAATGAAGTCTGGGGTTTTACTCTTTTGTACTCCCTTAACTTGCAGGAGCAGCCTTGCTGCAGTGCTTGTCTTCAGAATTCCTGGGTGTCTGAAATACAGAACTATGGCTTGCAGAACTGGGCTTCTGATTGTTCAGGAGAGAGAAAATACATACTCAGATATACAGGAACGTGCTTTAGATATGCAAAAGGCTGAGTTTACCAGGAGTGAAACAATGGTTTACTCTTCGTTGAATTTCTGTTGTTTGGCTTGTTCAACACAGCTGAATTTTCTTTGTGCATTCAGTAGGAGTATGGTGGGGCCCTTAGAGGCTACTGCATTACAGGTTAGACATCACTATGCTATGGTAAATCCTACCTGAAAATGCCCTAAATAAAATGCCTTAAAATAAAATTACTGGTTTCTATTTGTGGGGCAGTCTATATTGCTGACTATCATGGAGAAATCAGAAATAAGGTGCAATAACTGCACAAAGCAGTTCCTTCTTGACTGGCAGAGAAGGGCCCTGCTAAGCCCTTCAAAGGGTTTGTCAAAGAATTTTCCCCTTTTTACCAGTGAAAAAAGAAGGCACATTCTAACTTGGATGGAGTCCCCAAGACAAATGCAGTAAGAGCAAACCCTGTATTATTACTAATCTCAAGTCTCTCTTTTGTGTCTTTTATTTTTGCACAAAATGAATCTTTGTGTATCAGGAAGGGGGAGCAGACCAAACAGATCACACACCTGAACTTATTCTGGTCTCAGCCAGAGCCAGAGCAAAGCTGGGTGGGATGTGTGGAGACTGCAGTGCTGTGGCCGCTCACATCCAGCCCTGCACGTGGAATTGCTCACTCCGTTTATTACCAGGGGCGTGGGCAAGGAAACGAACTCGGCTTAAAAATGCCCGATCACATCTCACAGACAGCTTCATCCCTGTGCTGAAAGGATTCTGAAATGTCGCTGTGAGAGCCACTGTCAGCATCTGGCGGAGGCGGCCGGGCAGGCGGCTGGTGGCTGCTGGAGCAGCAGTGCCATGACTCCTCCCTGCTGGCCCCAGCGCGGGCACCGCTGGCCGGGAGGGATGGAGGTGCCCGGTGCCACCGGGAGGGATGGAGGTGTCCGGTGTCACCGGGATGGATGGAGGTGCCCGGTGCCACCGGGAGGGATGGAGGTGCCCGGTGCCACCGGGATGGATGGAGGTGCCTGGTGCCACCGGGATGGATGGAGGTGTCCGGTGTCACCGGGATGGATGGAGGTGCCCGGTGTCACCGCTGGCCGGGATGGATGGAGGTGTCCGGTGTCACCGCTGGCCGGGATGGATGGAGGTGTCCGGTGCCACCGGCAGAGCATCACGCCGCAAACCTGGCCTCGGAGCTCCACCTAGGGGTGTCAGCGCTGGGGCTGGGGGCTCCCCGCCACGGCAGCCTCTGGCAGAAATTACTGTAATTCACACCCAGCCGCGCTGCCCGCCTTTCCCCATACTCTGAGTAAAATGCTTTTCCTTTTTCTAAAACTGGGGGGGGGGAAGCACGTCAATTTTATAAAACCATAAAAACTACCAACACCCAGGCATTACCACCAAATTTCCTCAGAGAGCATCAGCAGGTGCCTGCTGAAACAGTGCTGATTCTGCACAGCTGAGCAGCCTCATGCCCAGAGGAAGAGGTGGCCGTTCTCTTTGCACGTCTTCCTTTCCTTTGTCTCATGGTGTATGAGACATCCAGCAACACTCACAGAAACACATCCACCCTGCTGGGATGGACCGAGCACTAGAACATCGTCACCTGCTAGGGGTGAAGCCAGAAGAAGTCAGAGTTTTTTTTCTTGCCCAACACACCAAGTTCTGGCATCCAGGACCCCTGAGATTTTATTGGTACATTTACAAGAATGATCTAGCCAAATAAGGGTTGTTTCATGCAGTGAGGTTTCTGTGGGGTAGGGACAGAGAGCAGTATACTTGTTCTAGTATGTTAGCAGTGCTACTTCCAGCAGAATGTACTTGAAATTTCAGCAGAATGTACTTGTATGCTGAAAGGAGCTACAGGTACTGCTGGAGATCACTGCTAGTAAAACCCTTAAGTGTTAACAGTGTCCAGTGGAGACTCGAGATTCACTTAGATCACGATGCTGGAAGATGATTTTCAAATGTTTTGAGGCAGTACCTTCTAAAACTATTTAGATGAAGCTGGATAAGGAGATATAATAAATACCAACATAATAAATACTTTGGGATTCTAATCCTTAGTTTTGTACTTCCCAATTAGGAGTTTGAAATAAATGTCAAATCAAAGACTTCCAAAAGAAAAATATTTTGTAAGATCAAGATCTGTAATAACAAGAGCACTCCAATACTGCCATCTGTTTTCAGTCACTTTAATGTGCCTATGATATCACAGTCACTAAAACACTATAAGGCTTTGCCAAATATGTGCTGCCTTAAGTTGAATAAGTTCTGTCTGCTTTGCTATTGGAAATGAGTAGCATAATAACTAGAAAAGAAATTGAAAGCTGGAAAATGTTTAGACAGGTTAGGCAATGTGTCATTAAAAGCTCTTGTGGGGCTGAGTAGCTGGATACTCACAGTTAACATGGCAAACATCAGCTGGCAGACGTTGAAAGCGTGCCTCCAGTTGTGATACAAAACCATTCGATAGTTCTTCCGCACCGTCAAAAGCCACCTACACAGCGTCTGAAATTAAAAGTACAATTTGTAGCAGGGCTACTAAATGTGTACAAATGGACAGAGCAGTGCCAAGACAAAAGCAGCAGATATTTGCAGCGCAGATGGTTACCTCGTAGTCAATTTTAAATTTCTGAACCATTCCAAGCTCCATGAACATCCGCAGGGCTGCAGTAATCATGGCATCCACATCGAGTGAGAAGTCATCAAAATGGATATCGTCAATGCCAAGCTCTGACACCAGAGGGATGTTTGCTGCCTGAAAATGCCAAAGGGAAATTTCTGATTCAAAACTTCAGTCTTTTTTCCTTTTTTCCACTCTTACAAGAAACAAACTGTACATCAGTTCTGACCTGCCAATACATCCCCTGCTTGATTCAAATGCTGAGCAGTAAAAGTCTTCATCTGAGAAACACAAACATGTCAAGCTAACAGAGTGTGGGAACAGTGGGAAGGAGAAGAACCTGGTATGAGCAGGAAATATGTTCACCATCCCAACTGGAGCCCAGATACAGCATTTAGACTGAAGGCTGACCACTTTACAGCCACTGCAGTAACCCAATATATTCCAATGCAAATTACAGTGCTGTAATGCAAGAAACATCTGGATAGCCAGAAGCTGGGAGTTTTAATTGCTACCATTTAGAAATGCAAAGTAAATATACTGCTCTGCAGAATTTCTTCATCCAAATGCCTTCACAATCATAAGCACACAAGTGCCCTTTGCTTTACACTGTTCACTACAAACACAAGGAACCAGAGAAAGTGGAATACAAGAAAGGTCTAGCAGAAGTACTCTCCAAAGGAAAATAAAAGAATTTAATTTTCAACATGCTGATTACATAGTAAGTCGATAAAGCAACAGCAAAAAAAAAAGCCTTACATTTTGCTTTGTCTGTGTAACAGGGACTTCTGTTTGTAAGGGAGGAATGAGCTGCTCTTGCACACACAAATAAAGGAATGTCTGCCAGACAGGCTGATGTATTTAGCTGAGCACACAGATGTGCTGTGGCTTGCTCAGTGGCAGCACCTGCATGAGCTGGGCAGAGGTGCTGACAAACCTCCCAGGCTTCTTTCACCTTCCTTACGCCCCTGCAGACCTGCTGCTCATCCCTCTAGAGAGGGCAGGTGCAGGGGGTGCATTCACTGAAGGAGCATCTGACCCCTCCTGCAGTGAGAAGGTGATGGGTCAGGTAGGAGCCTCTCAAAGGGGCTGGATCCAGCACACAGGCTATGAGCTGGACAACACTCAGTTAGTTAAAATCACATGGAGACAGCTGTGGAAAATCCAGTTACACACTTGCATAAAATACCAATTACTTCATGCAACTGTAATGAAAGTTCAACTTGACTGTTGAACATGACTACTCCATAGTTTCCTTTTTGAAAACTTTTGTTTTGAAATACTGCACTCTAACTACAAATTACTGAAATTATGTGAATGAACATTATGTAAATAATGTAAATAAACTATGAAATTATGTAAAATCTTTTGGCTGAAGACAACATGCCACCTCAACAATTACTTTATGCAGAGATGTAGCTATACCACATAAGACAAGATGGTGTAGACCTGTCATAAAATAGTATTAACATAGTGTTTTTAATTTACATGCTAAGTAGAAGAAAAGTATTTTTGGTTCTGTACCCAGTAGAGCACACCAGTACCTCAGAAAGTCATGGCACTGTGCCAAGGAGTTAAACTGACACAAGAAATACAGCAAACCCATCAAGTCAAGTGTCATCCCAGGACACAGCTTAAGAGCCTCTGGAGCATGCCAACAGAAATGCAAGTTCTGTTAACTGCACGCTCAGTTATCTGCTAACATACATATCCAGGCTGAATCAATTGACATCTTTTTTTGAGTAAACACCAAAATGTTTGGAATACTTCTAGATGATCCCAACAGGAGTTACACCTTAACACCCTTTAAGATCTGAGAAACTATGTCAATACTTCCAAGATAAATAAATAAAGAAAATATGGTTAGGTGTGAAGCAGGAATGCTGTCCCAGAGACTGTGCTGTCCAGACCTTCAGCAATCTTACAAAATTTATGACTTTTTAGTCATTCAGTTATCCTTCAAAGACTTGGGGGATACTGGATGTTAATATTAACTCTATGAACACGCTCACTGGACAGAAATAAGACTCAATATAATCTCTTTTTGGGAAGAAACACATTTATAAATCATGCTCCTTAAATGAAAGCTTAAATAACAAGCTGAAAGAGAAGCCCTTGATTGTGAGTAGACCTTCTTGAAATTGTTTATCAAAACAATCTTTACAAAGCTACTGCTGCATTTTCATTAACTTTGAAGTGGGATCTAATTAATGTTTTCAGAGTTTTTTGCCTCTTAAAGAAAAGCAGATCTTTTCCTTGTTATTTTTTCTGGAAACCAACACTTTTATCAGCCTGTTGCAATTCAAGGTAGAACACTTGAAGCAGTTGCTCAACTAAAATTGTCTTCCCGTTTGTCAAACAGTGGAGAAATAACAATATATTCCAAATCTATTATAAATTGAACAACAGGATATTAGCAAAGCAAGTCAGAAACGATTTCTTCCCACGTCAGTCTGAAACTTTTAAATATTTATGAGGTTTTACATTCCTAAATTTAACAGGAGTGCCATAATCCAAAATAACTGCTGAATTAATAGCCAGGAGATAACATTTGTATAAAAGAACCATTTGCTTTACAACAGCAATAAAGGAAACAACAGAATTATGAGTGCAGAGCCTAATTTGAATAATGTTAAAAAAAATGATATGTTGTGGGGCTGCAGCAATATTCTAGCTGCACCTGGCATTGACTATCCTCAGCTTCTTAGGCTAGAAATGCAGAAGTCCAGGGTTTAGAGGAGAACAGTCATTAAAACTTCATTTTTTTAATTACAGAGATATAAAAAAAGTTAGTAATGCAGAATACTAAAACATAGCCCTCCCTGAAATTTTGCAGGGCTGCAGGAAAAATTTCAGTGGATTTCTTAAAATAAATAGCAATAACAACACTCTCTTTCAGGAAAACAGAGAGGATGAAAGTACCATGACAGCAAAAGGAAAGGGCAGGCAATTAAAATTCAAGTTACAGTGAAATTGTTTTTTAAAGCACTGCAGTGATTTAGAATCACTTAAAAGGCTATGGGTTTTTTAACATTTGGAAGCTGAATTTCTCCTTTCTAAAAACACTTAAGAATATTTTGCTCTGGAATCTTTTTACCCTGTGAATCAAGCAATTTCAATGCTCTTTGTAACCCTGAGGAAAATTCACGACTCTTCCATGAGCTTATGGTAAGTTAAAGCCAGATGTTCCTCCTCTGGTGACATTTCCATACCCCCAGTACTAACACAAAAATTTGTCTTGAAAGGAACCAGGTTTGGCTGAACACACAGAAGGGAACTGGTCTTGCCTAATAAAATACAAGCTCGGGAGTTGCCAAGGAAAATATTGTCAGTCATAGGTAGCTTGAAAAAGAGGATGTCATGCCTCCAAATGAGCATAAGGATAAGATCTGTGGTTACTCCATACTCAGGCATGCATGGAATAGGGTGGAATGAATACAGGAAGGAGGAAAAGCACCTTTGTACACCATTCAGATTGGAGACAGATTCTCCTTTCCTCATTGTTCTTTGCTACCACATAAATTCTATCACAGCCTGCTCATTATTGGTGAACAGGTAAGAGACAAGGGACTGGTTGAGCCTTAGTTTCCATCAGCCAGCACAAAAGGTCGTGTCATTAATGACCCTCTTACGGTCAAAACATGTGGAACATCAAAGTGGCTTTCATCACACAATCACAATTCTGGCCACTATAAAAGAGATAGCCTATGGGAACAGAAAAATGACATTTTTGGTTCAGTATTAATAAGTCTTTGGGCTCCTGTGGATGAATAAAGCCTCACTAAATGATTTTGCACTAAGTCATCTAGTAGCATATTCTTCACAATCTTCTGTATCCATATTTGATAATGTCATAAAATCAGATGTAAAGAAGCTGACATTCTTCCTTTGTAAAATGTGTCCTACCATGGTAGCAGTCCAGCTAAACACAGAAGACATTGACATCCTACTTTGCCATGTCATCTTAAAATTTCTGTACTTCAGTTTTAGTACCTGTGAGGATAAGACAGTGCATATTATGCAAAGAAAGTATTTTGAAACATACTGATAAGTATATTAGTATGGCTTTGTTTAAGAATAAGGTACATTCTGCCATTTTATATACTCAGCTTCCTTCCTATGTGATACCAGAGCTGCTCTGAAACAGCAACTTCCCCTTACTGAATGTAGTCCACTTTTTGCATAGCCTTATTTACAGTGGCATGTGGAACGATCAGCAAGGTTTCCTCATCAAAGTACTGCCAGGCTGATGGAAAGAAGTAACAAGAAACTTGATTATATCTAACACATATAAAGATAGCTCATGAAATACATGTCCCAGTGTAGCAAAAGGATGGCAAAATTATGTGGTGTACATCTTAAATCCCAGAGGCACTGTTAGAGTCCAGAGTCCACATACTATTCGAATAGCAGGTCAGGATCTGACCTCATGTACACTCTGGAGTGAAACAGGAGCTCCAGACAACATGAAACACACAGAAGAAATAAAATTGCCTTTTCAAGTATCTCTTCATCTCAAATATCTCTCAGAAGATTAGGATCTGAAAAACCTTAAAGGATGATCATCAAAAGCTGAAGAGAAAATATCAAAGTGAAGAATATTTAAATGTGATGCCTTCATTATCTCTCACATAACCTTCTATGATTCCATGAAGCCATTTAGAATACATCATATTCTGATGGCAAAGATTTTTATTTGTGAAAAGTTCTTTTCATATATAAAGGCCTCTAAAATACTTGCTTATATTTATAGCTGCAGGCAGGCATCTTTTAAAATATATCTTTATAGTCAGTTATTAGCAGCAGTGGACAGATTTTGTACTTCTTCATAGCCATGGAAGACCAAAGCCTGTTATATTCCAGCCTGACACATTTACTCTCTCCAAAAGAGAAAGAATCAAATGTTGCAGCTCCGGCATGTTCAATGCCCAGAGCAAACTGGCTTTTAAAGGCCTCCATCTGTTACTGGAGACTGTGGATGGCAACTCTTTGCCCTTCACAACACTGCACCTCTTTTTCAATGACCAACTGAAGCAGAGGCAGGACAATGACATTAAAAGGGAATTTTACAATATTTACTGTAAAGGGGAGTGGGTATGAAAATTACTAATTACTTATTAAAATACACTAAATAT